TCAACCATTTAGAAGATCAGCTGATCGATTGCTCCGCATCCAGCACCTCATCCGATTGTGAAGGTACGCTTTCATTTTTTCTTATTTTGATTATATATATATATATATATATATTTTAGTCGTATAAATAAACGGAGCTGAAAGAACGTTACCTCATTTATATTTAGTTGCTAACCAGGTACACAACAGAAACAGGTTATATTTAGAGAGAAGAGGGTTTATTATTAGATATCCTGGAAATAAGGGCTAAAGATGATGAGGGTAACAAAGGCCAGGAAACGTTCGTGGCTGTGATGGTGCTTTTGGATTTGAGCCAAAATTTACAGGTAGAATATGTATACTTCTAGAACTAACAGTAAACAATCACGTAATTTAAAGAACGCTTCGAGATTATGAAATACCTCAACACCTGAGGAGTAGACAGTAGTAGTCGTGCATCACAATTGCAACTAAATGGCTTAGGTGCCCAAGCTAGTCTCACAAGCAAGTCTCAGGTTGAAACACATGTAGTGAGGTCGCTGCATATAATAAGAAAACAAAATATATAGTAGTTTACATGAATTTTCCAAATGACCACTAATGCCAAGGTAAATATAGGTATTGACCAAAATTAAGTTTCCTGAATCTCACCCACAGCTAACTTATAAAGCTACATACTTGCAGTTAGTTTTTCTATCGAAATAAACATCTGCTCATTTAATTGATTTTTCATTGCGTAACAGATTTATTTCGTGAATTCCCGACACCCCCCCCCCTCATCCCCACCTCACGTCACTCGTTATCGTCATCCGTTGCATTTTATTTTAAAGGGAAAACATTAATCTCAATACTTCTAGGTGGAGCAGAACTTTATGATTCGCTTTTCCGGCTCCGGAATTCTATGCCCCCCCCCCGCCTCCCCGCCTCCCCTCCTTTCCATTTGGAGTTTGGAATGGAGAAGGGATTCTCGACTTGTTATCGTTCGTTTGGACTTACTTCATCAATTTTTTTCGGCCCCTACCAAATAGATAAATAATCTTTAACCACCACTTAGCGTCCAGATATTTCTCGCCTGTCTGATATATACCACGTAGATGGAAATAGGGCAAATGATTCGTAACAGTTTCTCTGCCCTATGATGACTTAGTTTGCAGGTCTTCGCAAATCTAATTCCAGAATTCCGTTTTAAGGAGCTCTAGTCTATGAGGTGCACAAAGGTGACTTGAAATTTCAATTTCGTCCTAACGTTAAATGTTTGCGTCATCTGTCACAATTCCTCATTTGATCTTGCACTGGGTAATTATGGACTTCCTTAAGCTAATGAAATGTTATGAGCTAACGGAAAAATTTAATGGCACAGAAATTGATAAAGCTAATAAAAATTTCCCTTAGCGTTGCGAATATTACAGTCCTTAGATAGGAAGGAGAGACATAGAGGGTAGAAGAACAAGCAAAACAAATAATAGCATGTTGTAATTTACAGAGAAAAACATTGATAAATAACTTAAGTGATGAGTTTATGCAGAAAACCAGGTAAATCCACTGAATCCAAGCACTGATTCTCCACATTCGAGAAACTTAGGATATGGTTGTTGCTTAAATTGCAGTTATTCAGACAAGAACAAAGCTTTTAAAAATGCCATCAGGCAGTGTAAAATGCCAAAACAGGTTTTTTTATTGGGTTGGGTAGTGAAGAAGTGAAAATCCTGAACTCCGTAAGCCAACTTTCCCAATATTATCGCCGACCTACCTATATGCAAGTAAGCAGGCGCGGATGCAATATCATCTGCATTCAATCTAAATAACACCGCTTGGGGTTTCATAGTTTAAGCAAATGATCAGTTTTAAATTGTTCTCTTCATTCAACACACGCCTATTTCAACAGATTCTGTTTTGTGCGTAAAATTGTTCTGAAAAAGCACTCATGGCGGTATATAAGAAATCAGCATTAACAGCAGCAGTGATGGCTGGGACTTTTGGCGTGCCAGATGTATGAGAATTTTCCACTTCTTCATCAAAAATTAACCCGTTCTTTTAAAATGTTGACACTGTAAACAATCATTTCCTTAATTAGTCACCTGGGGATGTGAGGGGGGTGGGTGGGTTGGAAGTGTTTATTTTGACCAAATTTGTTGATTTCTTAAATGAAAGTAATTATTTAAGCCTTATGAAACCACATTATTAGAAGTATTTGGGTGTCAAAAGATAAGGCCCCATTGGGAAAAAGCATGTGTATGAGCTTCAGAAGATAATGTTCATTGTAAAAATACAACAAGTGCCAAATACTCACTTCAATCCGAACTTTCTTCGTTTTCGTTAAACACTACTTAAATGTAGATTGCATAATATTTCAAAAGAATATTTATATCAAATAGCAGGCTTTATGATAGTTTTCATTATCCCTTTAGTTGACTTCAGGCTTCACAGAGGAAGAGGAACATCAAATCGAAAAAAGTCAAGAGGGGGGAGGGGAACAGAAGAGTGTTTTAAAGATGTAAAAGAGACAGACACAAAGGTAGAAAAAAGGTGAGGTGAGTACTGTGAAAGTGGTCGAATATGACATTCAGTGGAGTCGTGGTAATTTGAAGTCAGAAGTCAACTGCCAGTTTATAGACTTTTTGGCCGCATGAGCATACGTTGCCCAGTTCGCATCACGTGGAGGTAAGTCTATCGCACACCCTTTCAAAAGAATATAAATCACTGATAACTTGGCTACTTTACTCACTTGAGCATTCCTATTTATTGAGGTGAAGAGTGTCCAGTATATGATGGGAGACACGGTCAAATATTTTGCTTCTGTCACAGCAGTTTTGATTAACCCCCCTCCCCTTCCCCCCCCCCCC